CCCCCCCCGTGCAATTACCTCGCGCTAACAGCCGCTAAAAGTCGCGCCCGCGAGCACAAGCGGAACGGCGAATTGCGAACTGGACGCAAATAGGGCAGTAATTGAGGGTGTGGTTGGGCAATGCGCAACAGCACCTGCACCAGCGCTGCAAAGGATCGTCCGCGCGCCGCGTGTCTCCCTACGACTAAATGGACTATGGACTGGCGCACCGCACGGGTATTATCGTTTCAAATTTTCGCGCCAAGTTTGCTCCGACTGTACTGCGCGGCGCTACGCGGCGCCACCGCCGCACGGCGACTGTGAAGGACACCCCATTTGAAAAAGCCCGCCGCGTTCCCAGCGAGCGCGGCGCGTCAGAACCGGATCCCAGCCTCCCCCTCCATCAGCGGTCCCATGGTGTAATGGTTAGCACTCTGGACTTTGAATCCAGCGATCCGAGTTCAAATCTCGGTGGGACCTTCGACCATATCGTTCACAACGATAATTTTTGTGTAGCTTTTTTTTTCCTTTATTTTTTTTTTTTGGCAGAGCTCAATTGACTCATACTCATGCCTAATAGTTGAGAGGACTCTAATGGTTCTCAATATCTAATTCAAAGAATTATAGAAAAGAGGGAATCACAATTTTACAAAGTTGTGTTTTAATGTCCATGTAAAAAATTTATTTACATTTCAGATGCTATAGCATCCTGATACTGCACATTAAAAGCAAATCATTCTCATTTCTTGACAAGATAGTACTGTGTTTAAAAATGAGATCTCAAGTCACTTCAATTGTGTTGTGCTTGTATGATAACTTCCTCAAACATGTATAGCACATTGTAATGAAATTGTCTAGAAAACACTTGATACCGTACAAACAAATAGTCTGCTATGGTAGACGTACAGCAAAAACTTTATAACATGAAAAGTCAAAGGTTTGTCTGTTTCTAAACATACACAGTTATATTCGGTGAAATAAATGATAAGTTATTGATCACATCCCATCACTACCAGTCTAGCTTTTTGATAAATTAATTTAATATCAACTATTAACACAATCTTTTAGAGGAGGAAACAAAATTATAGTTGTCATGAAATACACAATTTCCTGAGAAGCTCCGGTCCTAATATCTACACCTATGAGCATCTAAAAATCATTCTTATTTCAACAAATCAAAATTTCATTTGAATGGTTCCTAAAATTTGCAAAACATAACTGGACAGGAATAAGGCCACTCAATGAAATAACATAAACATATGTACACTACATATTAAATAATCAATACTGAGAACATTCCTGACATTACAAAGCAGGTACGAAATAACAACCTAGCATGACACAGAGTTGTTGAGGAATGAGTCCAACACAGCCTTTCAAATAGCATACGACAGCTACCTACAACAATGGCACAAATGGCATTGTTAAAAAAATCTTACTTAAAATAATGATAAACATATTTACACTACGCGCACATAATAGCATTTGGGTCTTGATGTGTGTGCCTCAAATCAAACCAAATGGACAGCTACCCACAAAGTTTAAAAATACATAAAACTAGCCAGTAAATACACCTCTAATTTACAGTTTATCATTAAAACACTAGGTAGAGCACAGAAATTCAACATACATCACAAAATAAATCAGTATCATTAGATGTATAAATGGTGATGTTAATGTTCTGTCTTAAAATGTAAGTACTGTGATGAAAAAAATATTAGCTTTTAATTAATACAGATTTTAGAGAAGTCATTGAATATAGAAGGTAAAGAAGCGATTCAGACTTTATAACAGACTACTCAAGATTCCAGATCCTGAAAGACTTACTACAAAACCAAAACTGAATTACAAGAGGTGGTCATTCAAATAACTATTTAAAATGTCATTGTGTCATAAGTTTCCATCTTCTGGTTCCCACATATTATCAACTCTTCTTCTTTTAGGTGCAGTTTCTTCAGAAAATGAAGTAAATTGGGCATCTGGAGGTTCCTTACCAATGGGTCCTCCAGAAAATTCTCCTATATTATCTGTGTTGTCATAACTGTCTTCCCCCTCAAATTGTAGATCATCAAATCCTTCATGTTCAGTCATAGGTGCCGACGATTGATTAGTCCATTGACTGGACCCAGGTTCAGAGAGCATTTCAATACTCAAATCAGAAGATACAGAGTCTAAGGGTGCAAGGTCATCTTTCCCTGGATCAGTTGAAGAGACTGACTGTTGGCATGAACTCAAGGCTTTACTTTCACTCAGCTCAGTATCATTTTCATGCTCACTAAACACTTTTATGTCTGGAGGGTCATCATTAACTGGTTTTTTGTCTTCGGGAGAATCTAAATTTTCGCATACAGTACTAGTATCACAACGACTTCCTTCACTCATCTGCTTACTTTCATTGATTGATGCACTGTCACTGACTTCTCTGTTGTCATGCTGCTTGTTCACAGATTTGGTTTTCTTCACATTTCCTGGAGGTGGTGTGGGCCCTTGAACACTAGAGCTGGCTGACAAAGGCGATACATTTGGTGACTGGTTAGCTGTCTGCAAGGATTTCCGGATTGATATTTTCGGTGACTGACTTGACTGATTCAGAGTTATAGATACTTCAGGTAATTTTGTGATTGTATGTTCCTTAGAAATAGAATTGGAAAAGCTATCTTTTGAGACAGAATTAGATAAGTCATTATCTAGCTCTGCATCTTCACTGCCATATAGATCAACAGTTTCAAGTCCTCTTCCACTACTTGCACACTCAGATGGGATACCCTTGCCCAATTGAAGATGCAGCATCATTATTTCTCTTCTAATTGCTACATTACGCCGATAAGCTTTCAACTTTTCTCGTTCAGCTTTTAAATTCTGGACTTCCAGAGCCAACACCTCTTGCCGAAGTTTCAAATGCACCTTCTCCAACTCCCTGCAACAAAGGAAAGTGTTTTAATGCAAACGTGAAAATGCTGAAGAAAATGGTGACCCAATGTCAGACAAAATAAAATATTTCTTACTCATTAACTCGGGGTCCGGATCTGTTCTGAGCACTATTAACAATATCAGCTGCTCTCACTGCCTCTGGATCTTTTGACCTGGGTTTGACTCTACTAGAAAGGGAAGCTGTCATTGCAGCAGCTAAACTTGGATGTGGGTATCCAGCTGCTGCTGCTGCACCCATTTTCTCCAACTTTTGGCTTGCTATAATACTGTCGGTCAGGATGGTTGTAACTCTGTCATCGCTTTCACTGTAGCTTCCATACTGACTACCTCGCGGTCTTCCTCCCCTCTTTCGATTTAACAAAGGATTTAACAAATGGAGGGGAGGTGGTGCTGGTAAAGGAGGAGTAGAATGTGTTGGAGGTGGTCGAGTAGGAGCCACAGTGATAGTCAAATTTGGCTTCCCTGGGACACGTAGTTTTACAGGGTCTTGTGAATCTGGAATCTGAATTGAAATAAAAAATGAGATAGATACAATTGTTCAAGGAAATTAGAGCAAGCAGAAAAAGAAATACATAGAACTAACAAGAGGAAGTTGTTGTGGCTGAGGCTGTTCCTGTTCCTGCTGACCACCGAACATATGATGATAGCTCTGATCTTCCTGGCCTCCAATAGAGTCTTCACCATAACCTGTGTTAAAATCTTGTCCATCATCATACTGTCCTTCCAACTCACAGTTTGGTTCCAGAGCTCCAGCATCCACCCACTCTGGCTCCATCTTGACCCTGACATCATCCCCATATCCGCTAGGCCCAGCCACAGATGGATCCATCATTCCTCCACCAGAGCTACGAATCATAAAAATGTAGATAAATTAAGAAATAATAATATTCAAATAAACTTAGTTACAGGAACAAGGAAGGAGAATCCTACAGAAACGATGATCTGTCTGAAAAACTACTTACCCCATCCCAAGAGTTGCTTCCAAAGAACTAGTGTCATCCCTACCCCCACTCTGCTCTTGCATTTGCTGCCTGCCAACATATAGAGACAAAAAGGAAAAAGTTAGCATAGTGTAGAAGTAATCAAAATTCTCACTTTTATCTTGTTTACAACAGCATGAGCTGCAAGATAGAAAATCTGATTATGATATTCTGCCGAGAAAACATTTATCATAGAATAATACAAACACAAGCATTGCATCAATACAACAACAGAAAATATTGAGTGTGTGTGTGTGTATGCAATATTCCTTAGAACAAGAATCAAGCACAGTAGTTTAATTGTACAGTTCACTCAATGGTTGTCATCAAGTTGCAATGATTGACGTGAACAGTGTAAATACAGACATTGATACATTTACAAAACATCAGTACAAAATTTAGCTAACAATACAATTCTTGATATATTCTTCACGTGAACCAATTTGATGCTAAAATCAAGTTTATTATAATACATTGATAAGACAAAACACCACATCTGATTTATTATACAATGATGTAATACATCATGACATCATGAAACCGAGTCTCAACCTATTCTCTAAGTTCAAGATAACAAATGAAATACAATGTAACATAAAGCACTCTAGAAAATTTCTCAGCTTGTTCAGAGTTTAGGACAAAATTTCTAGTTACCTCTGTATTTACCAACACATTACTGAACTTACAAAGGTAACATCCAAGGGTAGAACGGGAACGGATGAGGGAACGTTCTACGCCTTAATCGACGTTTAGCTCTTGCTATGTCTCTCATAATGCTAGCTTCTGAATCTTCAGGGGGATGGTTATGCTCAACCAGTGACCTGGGGTTATGATACTGCAATGCAAAATATGAATGAAAGAATCAATAAAAAAAAAAGAAATGCTACCCAGAAGAAATATTTTAAAAATCCAGCTACTTAAGTAGGTTAAAACCATGTGAAACTTACCGGTCTTACCGGATCTGTAGTTATAGCCCCTTTACATCTTGTGTCAGATCTGGTTGGTGTGGCACATGTCCAGCGAATAGCATTGGCTGATATCGCTTTCTTTGAGTAAGAATAACCATTGAAGTGAAGCTTGTCCCCACCCTGATTATTCATTGTCACCTCACATCTTGGAAGGCCAGGTCTACTGTTCTGATCAAGCTGCTGATCAAAATGGTTGTCCATACCATGGTTAGCAAATTGGTCTAAGCGTTGTTCCAGAAAATGTTCTACGTGGGACTCCATTTTCACCCTCTACAAGATCATTAAAAAACAAACATTACTCTAAGTCTGATTGTTCCCAATACAATGAAGAAATTTTATTCCTGTTTAAACTGTTGATGTGTGTGTGTTACTAGTGTACTGAATCATGCAGGGTTCACTCAAACATGCACCTGCTCCTGCTCGTCTGTTTAAAAAAGCTAGAGTAGAGACAAAGGACTAGGAACACTAGAAGCCCAAACCATCACAATGCTTGACACCAGCTCATAACGTAACCATCACCGCACCAATGTTCATTTCTAAGCTAAACTACACAACACAGCACTGAACCCACATCCTTAATACCTTAAGTTCCTCATGAGAGGGTGGTTGTTGTGACAATATAGATAATCATGTGGGATCTAAGATATTGAAATACAATCGAAGCATTGCTAAGATAAAGCTACAGATTATTAGACTGACAACAAACACACAATGTTTTCAAGTGGGGACAACACTGTGTGCTGATTACAATGACAGCTATGACTTAATATTAATTGATGAATACAGGACCACTTAAGAGTATTCTCTAGGAGAATATAATTTGTTCAATAAATTGTACAGATATCGCGAACAGCAATTATTCACAGACAGCTCATTAAATCAATACATGGTACTAATTATGCAGTCCAAGTCATAAAAAAGAATTGACATGACACAATCCCCACATAGAGACCACCGCACTCAGATTTAGGGGTACCTACGTGTCAAGATTGTTCAGAGTTTCATTAAGTCGTCTCCTCTTCTCCATCTGCTGCTGCAGGGACTCGAATGGCATCGAATTTTCAATCCCTGGGAACCTGAATTCCAACCAACAAGTGATGTTACTCAGATAGACAGAGGCATAATACTCTTGTCAAAAGCACTCTATCCAGTTCACACACCTGCTGGCTTCTTGCTCATAGATATCAAAAATTGGCGTTGTCTCTGTGCTGACTCGACGCTGAATAGCGGCGAGGAATCGTCTTAAGGAGTGCTTGTCTTGATCTGCCGGATGGCAGTGGGGCGACACTTGAACGATAGTACCTAAGCTATGTTTTTGAATAACGCGCCCAAAACACCCTCGGGTGGAGCAGCGGTAGTAGGTTGAGCTATCCGTCGCTCTGTTTCGTCGGTACATGTGTCCATCAAAGTAGTAAATAGTGCTGCCATCACGCTGGCCCGGACACTCTTCCATTGTGGCAGTTTGCCTGGTTTCTGCTCACCCCTCAACGAAAACAACTGGACGATTTGATGTCGGCAAAAACTCTAACCTCACTTTTATCCCCAGATCCCTACGCACCATAATTTTACGGCCCTCAACTGCACTCCTAGCAGCAGCAACGCGCTACTACATTGTTCTGAAATTTGGTTGAGAGCCTCTTTCAAGATTTGAGTACTAACGTCGCGAGTCTTACGCCAAAACACATCAAACTGGCTATCAAAACGCAGGAGACGATGCGAGAAATGTCCACAAGAAGTGCTACCAACATCCACAATCAAACAAAATTCAGGCCGGCACCGGCATCCCAACCAAGCCTACCAAACTCAAGCAAGTCAGCAAGATGTGCAGTGCTTCTTGAAAAATGAAGGTTTACAAAAGATGGGAATTCCAGGCAGTCATCATTTCCTCTTCAGTCTTCAGTATTTTGCATGTCCAACTTATATCAATGGAGTGAAGGTTGCTTCGATTCCATCATTTGGAGTAAATCTTCAATAGCTTTTGCAGGTCTTCTATCTTCTATCCAAAGATAATTAACAATCACAAAAGGGAAAAAATGTAACTCTGATAAATAGTAGGTTAAATTCTAAAAACATTTTCCAATCAATGCATAGGAATTTCATACGTCAAGATTTTACACATCAATATGAGGGACAAAAAACCAAAAGCATGGTACATTGGTGTTGAAATGGAGAATTCTTTGTCTTCAATGAACAACCTTTTAAGATGTCTTTCCACCATCAAAGTATTCCGCTTCACAAAAAAACCAATACAACTAAAAACAATTTTTAAAAAAAGAAAAAATAGGGAAGAAAGCAGTTATTTGATGGACTGATAGGCTGAGGAACAATATCATTACTACACATAAGTATTACCTAAATCTGAAAGGAAATATCTGCACACACACACACTCACACTTTTACAGTGGTAAAATAAGCAGGTAGAGGTCAACTCAAACAGATTTTGAAATAGAACTTACCTCCCATATGAACTACTTTGGAGGAAGTCGAAGTCTCTAGCAGCATGGCTTTTCATAGCATGTCGTTCCTTGAGCAATGAGTCAACCCATGGCTCAGGTGCGTGGTTGTGGGTAACAGTGACACTCAGTTCTCTACTATTGACCTCAAAGGAGGCCCTGGACATACATTTGTATCTCCCATGTCTAAAGCACTTAAGAAATTTTCTTGACCCTTTTGTTCTATTTAAACAGTAGTAGAATCCATCCCCAACACTATAGTATGTCGATCCTTCCCGGAATCCCTGAAGAGCTTCAACAAGATTCGGCATGTCAATGAATCTTCAGTGAACACTTTCCCATCTTCTCTTTCAGCACTGTAGATACCAAAAACAAAAAATAATAAGAAATAAAGCATAAAATGACCATTTGGTTATTAAGCAGCAGGTGGACAAGGTGGAAAAGTCTAACTTGAAGAAAAATAATTTAGATACCAGATGACATCAAAAAATGATTGCCATTGTTAGCTGCAGCCTGCACTCAGTCCAATCAAATAACCACAGAGCTCAGCATGCGAGAGCATAAGTGTAAAGGAGAAAGAAGCAATTATGTGAGAGGATGTGCAAATGACACTAATCTCTGTACCTCAGCTACTAATGCAACAGAATTGTAGGGACATTGACGCATCAATAAGTTCCTCTTCACACTTGTTCACATTCTATCAATAACTTAAGAATAATATACCAGTAGTAGTTCACCTCATAGAAACAATACAGGATCATCAGAATAGCATATGAAAAATAATAATCTAATGGCACATTGATTACAAATAAGCATGCAAATAAATTTCTATTAGGAAAGGTCTTCCTCTGATCAGATGAGCACGCACACACACACACACACACAAATAAATACATCCATACAACACGACATCGCAATCTCAAAAGAATTATTTAAAAAATACGCTGCTCGGGAAATTTTTGCTTCATTTGAGTTGACTACACTTAGATTGTGTTATTTTAGTGGATATCAGCATCAAAATAAAATTATTGCTGCTATTCACTAAATTTTAAAATAAGGTATTAGGGTGGGTTTACAAAATACAGAAGAGAATTATTAGATCCCTCCTGAGATTACAGGACCCTTTGAAAATCAAGGGGGCACCTACCTGGACAAAACAATGTCAGGCAATGGGAGTTAAGATTTGACAGCTAATCCTGTACTTTATTCACCCACCCTATTACTGTCAGAAAGAATTACCAAAAAATTATTTGGGGCATGCTTAGGAGTAATACTTTAAGGCCAAATGTCAATATCTTATTAGATTAAGAAATGATGCCACTGGAGAAAAAGCAAAGCTGCCAGCAGTGAATGTCACACAACACATAGCTGTACCTTTTAGGACCTCCTGAAATCCTTCCAACTTTGGCTTCTTCTTCCTGAAAGAGAATGGAAACACAAGTTTCAAAGAATAGGCTGCATGAGTTTGATTACAAATTTTGGACTTATCATGGTGGACTAATTTCTAAAAATTAATCCTCAACACATACCGCCTGTCCTTCAGATGCCGTTAACCCAGCTGGGAGACGAACATTGATAATATCAGATAAATCTCGACCAGGATGATTGTGGTTCATTCTAATCTTCAAGACTCTTCGCATAGCAGCATCTAAATTAACCCTGGCAGGGCAATCTTTTAAGGAACACCTGTGAAAAATAGGAGGGATTTGTGGTGAGATATGTTTTACCTAGATCCTATCCATCTGAAAACAAAAACAGCAACATTCCAATGCAAATAGTCACCTGAATATAAGGGTCCCATCTTTTTGAGTACCGGATTTCCTGAATTTGTGCTGTCCAATGATTAAACCTAAACGACCTTTTGTTGTTTTAGTTACCATAAATCTTAGGCCTACTGGCAGCTTGTTATCCCAAATGGGGCTCATGTTGTCCATACTGAAGATATTAAAGAAAAAACAAAACAAAGAAACGTGAAAAGGATCTTAATGTAACAAAAAATACTGTATAGACAAGGTATAAAGGTAGACGTAAGAGTAAGCTAAATCTGCATCAATTAAATTACTAAAAGAATCATCTGTACTAAACTCGGACATAATTTTTAAAACCTGTATGAGCAGTCCACCACTAATAGGATCTGGACAAAGATTTGCGATCAGAGATACTAGCACTCCTCTCTTACACCTGGCAATATTGTCCTAGAATGTTCATAGGTATAAAATCATACATTTGTGATACATTTAAAATAAAGTAAACAGAACTAGAGAAATGGTTACAATATATTCACAAATTTATAAACTAAAGCGTCATTTGCACATCTTTTCACATAATGAGCTACAATTGCCATGCTTAAAAAGTTCCCATCAGTAGTTTGTAGGTCAAATGTTTTCCTCTACACATAGAAAGAATAAGAGTCCACCGAGATAAGATTTTTTGAAAAATATGCAAGAGTTTTAGAGCAATGTCAAGCAGAGGAATAAATTCAAATTTTTAGAAGACTGCTAAAATGAATGTGTTCATAACCTTAGTTTTAAAATTACTGATACTACATTTGAGGTGTACCAGCAAAATCAAAATAAAGGATAAACACTAGAATAATTGAAAATGGCAAAAACTATAATTACAGTAGGCACCGGCCTTTTTCCAAAGAGAAAAGAAAAGACAGGCTAATACATACATGCATATGGGGACCTATTAAGCCAAGTGTCTTGCTTCTGCTGTTGTAGGTAAAGGGAAACGAGTGTTGATCTGAGGCAGGCTGATAACTACGGCAAAGAGAGCACGTAATAGGCAAGGAAAATATCTGACCCTTTTTTAAGTATCCAAATGTTGACAGGTCTACCTACCGCCACCAAACCCCGAGTCAATGCAATGCATGACAGCGCATCCCCATCCCTTTTCTCTACATTATCTATTTGCAGCACGAAGAAGACGAAAGAAACAAAGCTCAAGGGTTCAATTACACCAAGTAGGGGAGCTTCTACGAGCGCGCTCCAGCAACCCCAAGCAACGAGAACAGAACTGATTTGCACTGATCGGCTTTATCATTAACATGTGGGTGAAGCGTATGTATAGTGTTGTGTTTGTGAGAAATGTGACAAAACCTAGCGGTTTTTACAATAATTTACGAACAATGTGATCCCGTTACTCGACTGCAGTCGCCCGGTGTGTGCTGAAGGGAAATATTGTTTCACTAATTCACAAAATATTCAACGCGAAACAGCACACATACAGCCATCGCACTTGCACTCATCAATCTCACTGGAAAATGGAAGGAAGGAAAAGCAACCACTGAAGCATTCAAGCTTCGGGTGTCTGCCGCTACGGGCTCTAGCGCTCACTGCAGCGCCACGCCGCAAGCGCAGGATCAGGACTCAGGTAGGGCCTTGTGCTCGCCATAAGCATTGTCTCGGAAAGTTCGGACAATGATTAGCCTCACTGAATCGTAGGCGGACAAAAATTGGATGGGAAACGTGAAGCCACTGGGCCGCTTTCCATGGCTTTGCCCTGAAGTGAGTCATGCCATTTCACCCCGAATCCTTGTCCCTGGTCCCGCCCCTTGTTCCCCCCCCCCACCTTTATTCTGCCCCCGTCATCCTCATCCTCCCGACCAAACCCCCCTTTTTCCCCTTTTTAGTATTGTTTTTTTTTCATTCCTCCGCTTGTCTCACTGCCCTCGATCCACCTCCATCCACCTCCATCCTGGCACCCCCCCCCCCTCCCCCTCCCGCCTTCCCTTCGCCCAAGGACCAGTCTCGTGTGGGCCTGCCCCTCTTTGTTCTCTTTTGTTCGGCAAGGACAACAAAACAAAACCAAGCAAATTATTGCAAGGGTTTTAGAGGGAGGGGGGAGTTGGTGTTAGTGGGCAGGCAGATATGGAGAGGGAGGTTGGGGAGGTTGGAAGGATGGATTCCATCAGCCATAAAGTTCGTAAACCATTTTTATTATAGACTTTTAAAATTAGTAGCACATTGATGCGGTCATGTAGTAGGCGTGGCCGTCGGCCTGCTGCGGGGGAGTGGCGGCGGGCGCGCAGGGCGGCGGGTGGGCGTGCGCCCACGGCCTCGTCCAGGACTGGCCGACGAGGAGGTCGAGCTGGTCCAGCTCGTATGCGCTACACAGGGGCGCGTCCACCTGTACCGTGTGGTCCAAGCGGCTGTGGTCCACCTCGTAGCTCTGCAGGAAGCGGTCGTACCTGCGGGAGTGCTGGCCCTGAGTAACTGTTGCGCACCGAAAGCCGTACGCTGAGCTGCTGGGGGGAGCCCTGTAATTCGTGTTGCCTACTCCTCCGGGTCCTTACCGAACCACCGGCTCGAACCGATGCCCCCACAGCACCTCAGCCGGCACGTATGAAGATCGCGCCTGCACCACCTGCCCCGTGGACTCGATGGTGCCCTCCAGGAACACGAGAATCTCGTACTTCGAGTGGATGAGGTCCTCTGCCGACTCGAAGTAGAGCGGGCTATTCTGGTCGATCCGGTGGACCTGTGGGAGGGCGAGCAGCGTCGTTACTAGCCACGAGGGGTCGCACCAGAGCGCCCCAGCTCCGGGACCATCCGGGACACTCACCGCGACCAGCGGCCAGATGAGGAAGAGCTTGCCGTGCGCGCTGTCCACGCTCAGCTTGAGCTCGGTGCGGTGCGGCGCGAGGTACTCGCCCTCCGCGGTGCACCGTGTGTGCAGCAGGTGCGCGCGTAGGCGCGCGTCCACCATGTGGGTCTTGCGGATGTCTGCCACGCGGAACTGGAGGCACAGGCGGCTGTCCCGCATGGTCACCACGGCCCTGCGGCTGAACAGCAGCGTTTGCGAGCGGCGCTTGGGCCGCGTCAGCTTGGCGAACACCATGCCCACCGTGAAGGCCTTGGGGCACGAACTGTGGTCAGGTAAGGTGGCCTCGCTGGTACCCGAAACCCTACCGCTACCGTACCTGGATGATGAGCCCCAAGATGCTCTGCATGCAGAGCACGAATATGGCCTCCGGACACTCCTGGGAGGGGTACGACGTGCCGTAGCCGATGGTCATCTGGGACTCCACGGAGTAGAGGAAGCACTGCGTGAAGTCGTTCATGTTGACGACGCAGGGCGGCGAGTCGGGCAGCTCGCTGTCCTCCGAAGAGAGGACGCTGGTCCTTCTCAGGTCGCCATGCGCGGCGGCGATCAGGTACCTGGGCCACACAGGGGCGTGACGAGCACCGCGGGGAGGTGAAGCAGGTGCTGGACAAGAACCAGGCCGCACCAGATCAGCGCGAAGATAAGCCAGCTGACGACGTAGCTGAGCACGAAGGCGAGCAGCGTGTACCGCCAGCGGCAGTCCACCAGCGTGTTGAACAGGTCCTGCATGAAGCGCCGGTTGCGGTCCACGTTGTTGACCAGCGTCACGTTGCACGTTCCGTTCTTGTTGATGGCGCGGGTCTCCCCCGCCTCTTGGTGGCGCCAGCGGTCGTACCACCTGCGATGGAAGCAGATGTCATCACCTGCCCTTCCAATCCCAACCCCTGCACCGGCCCCCGACTTCATCGCGGCATCTGCTTTACAGAGGGCCCCCCATCGACCAGTTTGCACCTGCGCAAACTGTTTGCTGGGGCGGGGACCTTCGCGCCTGTATCGCGAGTTGGAGTGGCTTCTGCTTGATCAAGCCGGCTCGAGCCGCATAACTACGTAAACGCGGAAGCACTCGACGGGGAGTCGTCAGGCGCCGCGGCGTAGGCGGGGGGCAATGACCTCCCGACGTGGTCCTATACCTCTTGAAGCCGAAGATGGTCTCTTGCGAGTGCGCTCCGGTCGCGGCGTCGCTGGCGCGGGCGTCGTCCTCCAAGTGGATGACGGTGGACCGCGACCGCGGCGGCGTCCTCGGCCGATGCGCCAGCTCGAACGGCGGCGCCCAGTGGGCCCCCTCTGGATGGGTCATACGAACAATTAGGATGGGAATTCCCCACCAGAAGAAGTCATAGTGTCTTTCACAGTTATACCGGGTATGACTGATTCGCCCCCATTCACATTCGTTCTCCCAACGTCGCGGACGACGGCGCCTTACGATCCGAGCGAGTAGGCAACCCACCCGCGCGCCCGCGTGCGGTACAGTCTAACCACACGGCAGCGGGCGGTGCGCATTGGCCTCCCGGGTATTGGTCACGACTGCTGAACCGGCCATCGGCCACTGACTTCCACAAGGACACTGCTGTGCTTTTGGACGAAGACGTGACCTTGAGACCGATCGCCAAGTTCAAGTTCAATAGAACAAGCGTCGCCATGTGACTCGCCGACATGAGCCGGGGGCTGAGGCCGGGCCGCGACCGCATATCGGCTGACCACCGACAATGAGATAGCGAAAGGGCGATGCGACGTCCTTATCACTGTTTACTTTTTTCCCCGTCAATTTTCTTGGGGTGAACTTAGATGCAGGCACATGTCAGCTGAGCTGCAATAACTCTGTCGGTTATCGGGTCATGACCCGAACCGCCCTTTCTACCGCTCCAATACCGAGGGGGATACCCTCGAGCAGCGCGTTGGAAGGGGTGACACGGTCACGTCACATTTACCAGAGCCGTGGTGGGTGGTCGCGGGGGTGAAGCCCATGGGTAGGTCGGCGCCGTGGTCACGATGCAGCCCTCGCTCGCTGAGGGACTTGTCCCGGGCACGTCTGCTCAGCGGGGCTGGCCGGACCTCCGGGTGACTCCGGCTAGGACGGAGCAGGCTCGCCCTGTCGGCCATGTCATCGTGCCACCCCATGCTGGTTGGGGGGTTGTGATCCCGCTAACGGACGCTGTGCAGTCGCCGCGAAAATCACTCCGCAAACGATTGGGTCCACGCCACTGTGACCATACGAGCGAGTCGGTATGGTCGTTTAGAAACTGAAAGGATGTGGCGAGAGAAAATGTGCTCTTCGAAGGTAAGGTTCCAGAAAACTGGTGCGTCGAAAGACTCGTGAGATGATATGGTACTGGTACGGCGTTCTGCTATCTAACTGATAACGCAAGCGTGTTTGCAAACTGTTTTTTAAAGTAATCATTCCATGAGAATCCCAATAAAACGGAGATAAAACACTCATCGCATTTTTAAACTTAATGACGCATTTAATGCCAAATCGGTGCAAATTAACATGTAAATTTGAAAGTGGAGTAGTAACCAAGTGTAAAACAAATCATGGTTTCTGTTACATAAGATATCATACAGTTACTAGTCTGCTTCTACTTTTACATTGCGCGGGCACGACTCACAAGATACCAACTTCTACGAGAGAACAACACTATATAAGGTGGTCGCAATACACTTAATAAGGAAGCTTCTGATCAAAATTAATGATTTCTAATTAAAATTTTGTTTGAATATACAAAAATTTTGGAAATTTGATTAGGTTTTCGACGAAGTTTTGGAGTACTTTGGTTCTTAAGTTGGCAAACTCCAACGGCCTTCTGAAAACCGCCAACTGATGTTCGCGCAAGTCGAATGAATCGGCCACTTCTCGAATGAATGAAAACTTTCAATTTTAGTCGTGAGAGGGGTTTTATAATTGTAAATGCCACTCAGATATATAGAAAGCAACAACATATGAAATTTAGAGCGGCACAAGAAAACATTGAGTGTTATTAGGAGGAGGAAACTCTTAAAATGAGTGACGGTTGGCGCCCAACCCTGGCTGTATGGCCGCACAACCCTTCCGCCAGAATGCGCTTATTGCGTCACTTCGGCCAGCCAATCAGCTGATGAACTGTTCGGTACCGCATGTAAACCGCCGGCCATGTTGAGTTGGAATTGAACAAAGCTACAAGAAGGAAGGGAGAAGATCGGCTCGGCGTGTTAACACCGCACCCCTACCATCCATCATGGCTGACCCGGAAAAACAGCCCGAACAAGCTAAGGCTGTCCCACAGAAGCCTGTCATCGGTACGTAATGTGGAAAATGGATTTTGTAGCCGCCCAAGGTGTAAAATACGATGGGAAACAGAGACGGCGCAGGCCGCGGTGCAGGCCCGATGCGCTCGGCCGGCCGCCGGTGCGAAGGCGATATTCCGCCCTGATGGCTCATTTCTCTCGGCCGGTGGTGTCTAATGCTTTAGCGACGGCAATGGGGTCGGTCCGGGTAATTTCTGTGGCTCATGCCGGCCTCGGTGTGGTTCGTCGGGGCCGCTCTTTGCCACGCGATGTTGTGAGGCTCCCGCCGCGGACCAGGCCGCCGCTTGAGCCGCGACCACGGCGCCGTGCGCCAGTGCCGTGACTTTGACCGCGTGCCTGGACGCACGCGTCGCCTTGGCCGCGGCCTATGTTCCCCGTTTGTGTTGTAACGTGTGCATTCGAGATGTAATCTCCGCGTCGACCGGGTTTGACGTGTGCTAAGCGCATCCACGTTTCTGCTAATGGTACGGAAGAGGTTATTTCTTGTCGGCTGCTATCGGTCCCCGTAGGTCACTACGGCAGCGCGCTGAGGTGGGCAGACTTGCTGCCACTCTTTAACCACGCCGTTGCTCTGCCGCTTCCAGTTAGTTAGCAGTCCGAATCTTAAGGCATTGTTTTGGACTTGGTTTGATTTGAGCGTTATCTCGCGAAAGATGGTGAGTCCGCCGCGACTAGTGTGTGAGTGCGTGCCTGTGAAAGGGTGGGGGGCACTTCTAGTCTGTTCAAAATTTTTCAAAATGTCGTCCGGTCTTCTTGGGTTTCATTCGTTGGAAGCGTATTTTTACTTGCTGACAGAGTCAAAAACAGCTCCCATTTTCCCTGGTAGTAGTAGCGCCTGTTCCTTAGATTCGCGTATAACGCTCATTGAATGTCGAGCCGAGGTCAACGCCCCCGAGTTGCCATGACTGCCGGTCCCGCGGCTAACCTTGTCGGTCGATAGCGTGTAGGTGCGTGAGTAGCATAAGGCTCTTTCAAGTGCGTTCTTTATCTTGTTTGAAGGGGTAAACATTTAGGCTTGTAATCCTATGCAGTTTTAGATGATCTGTTATGGTTCAATCTTCTTTCATGTAACTTTTCTTTTTCTTTCCACAGCTAACAAAGTTACCGGAGTTGTTAAATGGTTCAACGTTAAAAGTGGGTACGGGTTCATTAACAGAAATGACAGCAAGGAGGATGTCTTCGTACATCAAGTACGTATTATATTAGATGATCCTTCATAAACGTGTAGGGTAAACTATTAACCTTTTTGTTTTGCTTTTCAGTCAGCCATTGTTAAGAACAACCCTAAGAAAGCGGTGCGGAGTGTTGGAGATGGTGAAGTGGTAGAGTTTGATGTTGTGGTTGGAGAGAAAGGAAATGAAGCGGCCAATGTGACCGGTCCTGCTGGTGAGCCTGTGAAGGGCTCTCCGTATGCTGCTGACAAGCGCCGTGGTTACCGACAGTGGTACTATGGAGGACGTGGCCGTGGTATGCGCACCCGCCGTGAAGGTAATTTGAAAGTAGTATTTTACGACAGTATGTTAAATATATCCCCTAATTCCTACTCACCAGCAGGTTACGAGAGTGGTGACGGTGGCAAAGGGGAAGAAGGTGGTGATGGTGAAGGTGGGCAACAGCAACAGAGGCGTTACAGACCAAGGCGCCGCTTTGAGCCCAACAATTACTACAATAACTACCGTGCCCGCAAACCACAGCAAGGAGAGGAGGTTTGTCCAGTCCTCCACAATTTTTTAATTGTTTAAATCTGACTTTTTCCCAATAACTTACTTGTTTTCATTGCAGGGTAAGGAGGGAGAGGAAGGTGGTGAAGGAGCTGAGGGTGGACGTCCTGCCAGGGGTAGAGGAGGCGCTCCCCGTCGGTTCTTCCGCCGTAACTTCCGTGGAGGTCGTGGTGGTGGACCACCCCGACGACCAAGGAGTCAGGATGGGCAGGTAAGTCATGCTTTGACTTGAATAGGCAAAATTGTGATTTTTTTTTCTTTTCCTTTGTTTTGATTGTGCGTTCTTTGCATAGTGGGCATTCTGTCCAGCACTGTAGCTATTACCACAGTATTTATTTGCTATGAGTATTTTGGCATTTTCTTAAGTTCTGTTCTTCTTGCACTCACAATTTCTTTGTTAGAAACTCAGTATATGTCATTGTTAGTCTAAGCAATAGCTGTGTGGGTTGGCCCTGCTCACATTTGCCAGACAGTGGCAGGAAGGTGTCCTTAATGTTTATGTGTACATGTAGAATGTGAGCGAGGGAGAGGGAGGCGCAGAGGGAGCTCGACCCCGCCCACGCTATCATCGACGCCCGTCCCGCCCCTCTCGCACCAGCCAAAGTGAGGGAGAAACTAAGGTCAAGGTGAGCTTTGCCCATCATTCCCCATCTACCTGACCTATCCCTTGCTCCTTGATCTGTTACCCTTGTTTCAGCGGGTCCCTTATGGTGTGGGATGTTAGTTCCTGTATATATTCTCAAGTTAATAAGTAAATGGGAGAATTCCCCTCTCACCCTTTTTAGGATTCAACCTGTCGCGAGTCAGTCCTAATTTGTTTACTTTGCCAGTCCATCTTCCTTTTCCGGATGGGTCATTCCAACAGACTAAGTTGTGGTGGACAGAATGTGATTCCTGGCATGCAAATGCTTTACTTCAGCTACTCAATTTTTGCAGTGCTGTGCAATCAAGCATGCCTTTATGCTATTTGCTTTCAATTGACCTATTTGGTAATCTGTGTAGCCAACAGACTGCACGTCTTTTTTCTACTAATATACCCAAGTCAGTTCTGTTCTGAATGACATTTTGTCCCAAGCACAGCTAGCTGATTAATTTTTACAATATATAATTTGACTCTAACACCTGGATTTACAATTTTGTACCTTAGCTTTATCTGCCTCTTTACCCTAGCACGCCAAGTTATAATTTTGACATTCACTTGGGGATAAGGGTGGGTTGTTTAATTTAAGAAATGGTCGGTATGTCTGTTCAATCCATTTCAGTTCGAGTAGTTAATTCTTTTAGAGTATTATATCAGCATGTTGTATTATTGAGCACTCTGTAGTATTCAATGTAGTTAATTTTACTTGCATGACTTGTTTCATTCGCAGTCTGAACCAACGGAAGCCCAGACCACACCAGCCCAAGTGAGTTGCAACAGTAGTGAATTTTAGTTCTTAGACATAGATTGGATTAGATTGTACCAGACCTGGTGTCCTCTTCAAACTCCCTTTCTTTCAACTGATTCATTCGCTGAAGTTTTCCAATTTTGTTGAAACCCAAGTCTGTTAGGTCACTAAATTGAATCCAATGTTTTTCTCAGGATTCATCGCAAGCTGTGCAGCACACAACCACCACTGAGAGCTCAGCCTAAATGCAGTCTGGCCACCTGCCCTAACACCTGGCCAACTAAACATCATTAATTTGTTAGTGCAGATCCAAGTTTGTTTAGCAATAAGCCCTACACCTCCTTGCAAGGCTCAAAATGAAACTGATGCCATTTCTTGGCCATGTCAGGTTGTGTTATCATATCTTTTTGTTTTTGTGCTGTGATTTTCATTGTTAGTGTTGTATAGAATGTCATGTGTGATTTTTGCATGATTTTCAATGTTTTTTGTTTGATAACAGAAGGTAATATTGTGGGCCTTTGTCAATGTTTGCTTTCTTTGTATACTATTTAAATTTTGCATGGCACAGTTAAATTCTGAATTTCCTTTGCAATTATTTTAGCAAAGGTTTTATTTTGAGTCTTACGTACTACTATTGAAGCTACTCTTAGGAGCGTGTATAGTTGTAGAGCAAGCGGAGGAGGCGGCCTTCGTCTTTTTTCTTTTTCTGTGTGATGGAGATCGTGTGCTGCGTATTTCCGCCTCACGCGTTGCTCTTATCCTTACTAGCAATGATTGCTGATCAACAACAAATTAGTTGGGTCAGGCTTACCAATAAGTAACCAGCCAAATAATTCATGCTTGTCCAACAATGCATGTGTTTGATGAAATAAATAAAAATGAATTGTCATTAAACATTTGATAACAGTATAAGCACCTTTCTTGAGGTGTATGTCAGAAACTGTTCATTTTGACAAAGCAATTTAATTTATTTGTAACTTAAATCTGGAATACTGAGTTTGATCTTCATGACAATGGAGAATCATTTTGTTGCTCTTTTTTTTCTTTTTTGTTTGTTGGGAGGGGCGGGGGGACTTTGTACTACAGTTTTGACTGTGGTTATTTAACCTTAATCTTTTTATTTTCTTGATTATTACTTTTTAAGCTATTGTCATCTAGCTTTATGTTCACTTGGGATAAAACTGGTTCTGATTTGATGTTGCATTTAGGTTTTTACACCCTGCAAAGTGAACAATGATTTTGGCGTTAATTAATTGCCTGCCTTTGTACAAAACTACCAAAAATTTTTCACAACATGTGCATTTTGAATAAACAAGCCAAAAAGATTTGATTATTATTTCATTTTCCTCCATTACTACTCAGCTCGAGTAAAATATCAAACAGCTTTTCGCGAGATAGCACTTCTTAGATTTTATGTGAGCACTGAGCTTGTTCAGGATTTAGACAATAAGTACACATATTCATCATAAGGTTATAATTCTAACATTGGTTTACACATCCAGAATGTTGCTGTGATTGCAGCTAATGGTTTTAAATGTAGGATGTACAAGACCTATATAAATCTGACAAGAAAATAAATTAAGACATTTATGTACATCAACAGAAACCCAACAGAAATAGCCTGTTTCCACAAAAACTTAAAATCAAATTCCTTAAACCCACCATACAAGTAGAATAAACCCAACAGTAAGAAAACCTCATAAAAACATATCTTCCTTTTAACTTGTTGAGTTGTGTTGTCTGACAGCCATCAGTTGATAGGCATCAAAACACAATGTGTGAGAGGTGTTATTGTAGATTTCTATTAGCATTTTCCCATATAACAAGAATTAAACCAGCAGTGCTGAAATAACTTGTTCATACTCTTGGCAATGCATAGAACATAATTCCTCAATATTAAAGAACAAAATTCAATGAGGAAAAAATTCCATACAATGTCAAGACATTTTAATAGGAATCTTATAAGTATGAAGATATACAAACAAGGACAGTTCATAAAAATCAACTACAACACAGTAATGGAAACTCAGAATCAAATTTTGTTTCCTAAACAAATCACAAGCTTTAAAGAGACACTTAATCAGTCCAAATATTCAGCAACTTAACAGTGCACAAGTGGAATTCATGCTATGACACTGAGGAACTTGACAATTGAAGACCATGTTTTTCAATATACTTTTTACGAGCCTCCTCAATCATTTTTGCTTTCCTCTCCTGGAAAGTAAGAGATCCAGACTGAACTGTTTTCCTTGAAGATGATGCAGCAGGCATCTGCAAAGAAAAAAAAGGAGTTTGCATATTTTTGTGTTAACTACATAGAAGCTATTTAAATTATCAGGAATGATTGAACACCGGTACAAACCTGATCTGGAGCCGGTCTCTGCGAACGTGTAGGTATTGCTGGACCCTGGCCCTCAGGGACAAAAGGAACTAAGCCCTCCAATATATTGGTAATAGTTAAATCAACATCCCATGTCCTTGCTAATTTTTAGGCAGGGGTGAAAAAAGATTCTTTTATACATGTGCTAATTGTTAGTTAACTACAATACATAGAAAACAAACTATGTTACTCTTACCTAAGTCTCTGCGTATAGCATCAAGAGGGACATTGGGTAACACTTCCTTGACCTGATTTGACATGCGTAACAGTTGTGCACCAGTGGGTTGTAATCTGAGAGCAGCAGCACCATTTGCAATCGCCACAGGCCGGTAAAGCTCAGCCAAATAACGTTTTTCGTACTCCATCTAAGGTTGATATAAAAATTGTTAGAATTAGATTCGGTAAATGAAAAAAAAATTAGCAGAACATTCTAAATATATTTACTTTGTCTTTAGCTGTAAATTTAGTAGTTCTTATACCCAGATCTTGAGCAACTGCTGCTTCAATTCGCTCCATGCCGTGTGCAGGAGTTTCATCTTTGTGAAGTTCAACTACATTGAGGTATCTGCAAAACAAATGCAAAAATACTGTCATCATGAAACTGTTAACTTTAAATAGAGATTCAATTTACTACAGAATTATACTTGCCTCACAGTGAATACAGTAAAAGGAACAAAGAGATAGAAAAATATGTCCCATAGTTCTGAAGCAGCAACTACAGTCACTGCTATGTCTGCCATAGCAGGGCGCCAGACTCTGATAACAGCTGGTTGTACCCTAGTAGCAGTTTCAAGAGGCCAAGATTCAAATCTGGAAAAAAAAGGGGCAAAATATTTTATAAAATGTAACTTCAAAAAAGAGGGCACTAGAAATCAAAAAAGATATTTTTCAAAAGGTCAATTTATAATGCCACAATCTAAGTTCAGATACTGAAAAAAAGAAAAAGAACAAGTTGCATACTTCAACAGTCCAGTTGTTCCACTTGTAGTTGCTCCTTCAGGCTGAATCAAAACAGGAGTTTCTGAGTTACTCAGGTGAGCACGTACATTAGCCAGAAGGGTATCTCCATGGCCCCAACTCTTCAAGCTCAATGCCCAAGCTGAGGGTGCATCCCATCTTCCTGGCTGGAATCCGGAAGTCAGTTTCTGGTTAAAATCAATTGTATTTAAATTTACATGCAAATAGTAGGTGTCCTTACCGTCACACATCCACTTAGCAAGTGAATGGGAATATAATCAAGCATAGATATATGGTTAGTAACAATAACTTGTGCAGATTCGTCACATTTTTCCTCACACTCTTCTCGTACAACGATACCAAGGGTAAAGCATAATGTTTTAAGAATCATACTGAAATCATATACAATTTAAGAAAAACTATGTTAGACATCAGGAATTAAAATTATTTGATAAAAAAACACCTGACACAATAAAGAACCACTTACCTTTTGATGAATGAAACATGGGGGACAAAAGCAGCTGCCAATAAAACTTGAAATCCAATAAATGATCGTAAAAATGCCAAAAGAAGACCAAATGGAGAGTATAAAAGAAGTGGAATCAGGCGCCAACCAGTGGGAAACCTGACAAGGAAAAGAAAATTTAAACATGAGTTTGTTGCGCTTTATTATGGCAAGTATAACATTCTAAACTGAATCAGAAAAAATTGTCTGAAAGAGTCGTCATTTATTTTTAGAGGTATGTCTTTTCAGGTATGTCTTAGGTCCACTTAGATCCTGAGGTAATTACAGAGACGTATTCTATCATATTACTATTATTTAAAAAAAGGGAAAACATGATTGAGCTGCACCAAGCAAAATGTGCAAGGCGAGAAATTGGAGAAGAGAGGGAATTAAAAAGTTAGATTTGGAAAGGCACAGAACAACAAAGAATCAACCCCCCTATGAATAAAGCACAAAAGAAATAATTTAATGATAATAAATGGTACATTATTACTCAGGTTGGACAAAATTTCTGTCCACATATCTATCTACACATAAAAATCATTCATTCATAATCAGACAAACTATGGTCCTTCAGTAAATAGGATTTCTACAGGACAGGTAGATGTTTATGTGTACGAACCTTTCCTCACGGAACAGTTGCTGTATTCCTATGGTCGACATTCTGCTGCTAGAGGCGGAAACTTTACATGGACAAAAGCTTAAAAGGAGTATAGCTTACGAACACGATTTGAGTGAACGAAATAGCTGTAAATATGAATATTACATGTCAATGTGCTCTAAAAGTTGAGCAATGTTGAAAAGTAGGGTTCAGCCGACAGCCGCCATTAAGTTGCTCTTTTGATGCGTGACCTCTATCGGAGACAAATCAAACTACAAGGTCGACATTTTCTTTCGAGTTCGAGTTTGAGTCAAAGCATGTTTTTGTTGGGTTATGTTGTGCCGTAACGTCCTTTATTGTTTTTGTGGTTTACAACTTTGAGAAGTATTCCCTAAAAAATGAAACACTCCAAAAAGTAAGTGTACCTTTTCAGTTTCCTTTTATGCGTCATCCATGCTGTTACACTTCTTTGAATGTTGAGTACATGAGATGGACAACCTCACACTGAAACACATGAGATTCATGGGTTATCTTAAACAGAAACCTAAATAATTAATATAATACTGAACTGTTCGTTATTTTTATTTTTAATGTAATGTTTCTTTCAGGCGTGGTTCTAATAATTTCTCCAGTAGAACTGTCCAAGATGATGACATTCATCTGGATAAGGGTACTCCATATGAGCCGTCAGACTCAGAGGATGATTATACTCAGCAAGAGAAAATGTTACTGGAAAAAGTTCGATCTCAGTCTTCTAAAAGTAGAGCCAACAAAAAGGTAGCTGTAATGGATCTACCACTTTATGATGACGATGATGATGACGATGATGACAACATTGAAGACGCAGAGGACAGTGATGAGGAGGATGACAACGATGTCAATATGGACAGTGATATTGAAGGAAAAGATGATGACTTCCATCTTCCAGATCAAAGAGCATGGGGGAAAACAAAAAGGAACTATTATAACACTGATTATGTAGACAAAGATTATGGTGGTAAGCACTTTAATTTTATAATTTTCACCAGTGTAGCTTATTATTTGATTTAATTTCTCCCCCCCCCCCTTTTTTTTTTCTCTTCTGAAAGGTTTTGATGGAGAGGATGCAGCAGCTGCAGAGCTGGAAGAGCAAGAGGCCCGAGAAATCCAGAAGCGCTTGGCCGCTGAACTTGATGATAATGACTTCACCTTAGATGTTTTTACTAAGGTAAGATTATTACCTCTTCTTCTGTCAGTACATCTATCTTATCAGACCAAAATGATCATTTTTCTCTTGTCTTTTTTCTTTGGCTTTCTTCTTAATTTCTTCTTATTTTTTTATTTTTTTTTTGTCTAGAACAAAGATGACGATAAACTTCCTACCACACCCTCAGAAGAAATTATTAAAACAGATCTTAGCCAACTAAGCTCTAAACAAAAGCTAGCTCTCCTTGAAAAGGAAGCACCAGAATTGATTGGCATCATATCAGAGTTCAGAGGTGAATATTCCTATAAATTTCCATTATATTATGGATCATATTCATGATGGTGTTAAATAATTTTTGTCTCAGATCTTATGGGAGAGCTGCAGAACCGTCTTCAACCAGCTATAAGCTTGGTTCAGGAAAAACGAGTATCTTCCTCCCATCTAATCCATTTTATTCGCACCAAGTATCATCTTGTAAATAAGTAAGTTTTTTTTTGTTATGTCACTACTCGTAAAATTTTAAAATATTTTTAAAGTTAACTGTTGTTGTTTTTGTTTTTTTGTTGTTTTTTTCTTAATTTTTAATATTTTAGTTATGCTATGAACATGGGCTTCTACTTGCTGCTCCGCGCGCGGCGTCTGCCTGTTACTGCTCACCCTGTGGTCAAGCGATTACTGCAATTTAGGCAACTTCTGCAACAGCTTCAGCCTCTTGAAAAATTAGCTTCAGATCATCTGGATGAGTTACTCAGTGCAGCCAAAAATGGCTCGTTACCTGTCAGCAATGCAAATGGATTGGAGTCAAAGTAAGAAGAATAATGCTACAGTCTATGGTGTCTATCCAAAAGAAAGCTATTATTTTGAAGTACTCATCACTTGTTTTTCTGACACCAGGAAAAAAACCAAGAGCAGCCTGAAACTCTTGTCCATTTCTGAAACATTTGAGAAAGATTCAGCTGATGCAAGTTCAGATAACATACATTCAGAAAAAGTTAAGAGATCAAAGGATAAAGAAAATATTAAATCAAAGTTATCAAATCCTGATAAATCTTTAACTAAGGATACAATGGGTAAAAGTAGTGACTTGCCTTGGGAAAACTCTTTGGACATGGAGGAAAATGGAGGTATGTGTAAATTTAATTACAGTGCTTGTTTTATATCTAATCTAAGGAGACTATAAGCCTTCTTTCTTTCATCAATCTAACATATTTACCCGATTTACTTCTTCTTCAGATGTTCCTTGGAATTCTGGCTTTGGAAGTGGAAGTGAAGATGAAAATGAAAATGAAAATGAAGAAATGGATGACTCAGGAGCCCTTGATGGCTCCAAAGCTGACGAGGATGGTAGTAAAAGAGCTATTACTTGGCAAATGTCCAAAAATAAAGGTCTTACACCTCACCGCAAAAAAGAGCAGCGCAATCCTCGTGTTAAGCATAGGAATAAGTTCCGAAAGGCAAAAATTCGCCGTAAGGGCCAGGTAAGAGTTTCCTCATTAATTACCCACATTTGTGTTTATCATATTCAAATGGAAGTGTCAGCTACATTTCTTCTTTTTTCTTAGGTGCGTGAGGCTCGTACAGAGCTCAAACGCTATGGTGGTGAAATGTCTGGAATAAAGAAGACTGTGACAAAGAGCATTAAAATAAAATAGAACCTATGCTAATAAAATTTATTGATTTGAAAATCAAATTTAATTTAGCCTTTGCCACATATATAAGAGATCCAAGAAGAAGGAACATTCCTGTTCATTTGTGATCAATGGATGGGAAATCTCCAGGGCCATGTATGTACAGTGTGTCAGGGCGACGACACAACAGTGGTCTGGGGTTGCATACACTGGCCATGGTGTCTTACGGGTAGAGTGTGTTGGCAGCCTAGCATGCTGATGCCTCTTGGCGTCAACGGTACACACTGTATATATTGGGATTGATTGGAAATCAACTAAAGAGAGACAGGCAGGATTTATGGATGTGAATAGGGAAATTACCAACAGACCTACAGGTCTGGGCATTGAAGGTTAGAGGAAGAAAAATTCTTGGCGGAATGAGGTTTGAACTTATTATTTTGTTTCCATGAACTATCAGTATCTTACTGAAGACCCTCTTTTAGTCAATAAAATGTTTAAATTTAAAAAAAAATTATGGGACACAGAGGCCTGCAGTTAGCGAGCATTGAACACTAGTTTGGTCTGAAAACAAGAGGTGGGAGTATGTTCCGGTTCAGCCATCTCTCACTCATCTTCAGTTTTCAGACCATACAAACATTCGATATGCTTGCTCACAGGGGGGCTCTGATGGACATATGGGGATTATAAAACTAGTGTTGTAATTGAATGACCAGCATCATATATTTCCTCTTGGTTACAGATAACAAACCAGTAGCATAACATTTATGATCAACAAGAGTTGTAAATTTTGCAAATATTTTGTCTAACAGTATAATTTTAATTTTAAATGAGATTACAGGTAAACAAGATAACAATTTCTAATGACTAGTAAAACTTCAAGGAGAACACAAATTTGATGGAATGACAACTCTTAGAGATCGATATATATCGAACATAAAATGTGCAACAATTATTGCAATTAAAAAAATTGATGGCAGTAAAATGAACAAATGAAAAATATAGCATTGAAGAAATCTCATGAGGGAGTGATTATTGTCTGTGCCTTAAACATTTGCATGTGTAGCTATGTTCATTGGCGTGCATTAACAATTTCGACAAATTCAGGCTTCAAAGATGCACCTCCAACAAGGAAACCATCAATGTCTCCTGATTTGGCAAGTTCCTTGCAGTTGGCAGCTGTGACTGAACCACCATAGATGATACGTGTCTCATTGGCAACCTTCTCAGAAACCTTCGCCTTCAACCATGCTCTGAGTTTCTCATGAACCTCTTGTGCCTGAAAGAGCAGGTCAAAGTTAATAGTCTTTAAATTCACGTTGAATGTTCACCTATTTAGTGCGACTTACCTGTTGCGGGGAGGCAGTTTTGCCAGTTCCAATAGCCCAAACTGGCTCATAGGCAATAACAACTTTAGACCAGTCCTTAATTTTGTCAGCAATGGCCTGGGTCTGGCGATATACAACTTCCTCTGTTTTACCAGCTTCTCTCTCTTCCAGTTTCTCGCCGATACAGGCAATAACTGATAAGCCTTCCTCCAAAGCATGGGCAGTCTTTTCTGCTACCAGCTAAAACCAACAAGTAAAAATAAGAAATCAGAATATGAAACTTAAAGAAAAAGAATGTTACTTTTGAATGTCGAACATACAGCATCAGTCTCTCCAAAAACATTGCGGCGCTCTGAATGACCTAGAATAACCCAGTTGAGTCCAAGGTCTTTAAGCATAGCTGGACTGATTTCACCTGTCAAAGTGTAAAGTTGCATATAAGCAAAGGAGTAGATACATAGCATGCCAAAAATAACTTCTGAGTTCTTAATTATAAATGTGACAACATACCTGTGAATGCTCCTTTGGGTACCTTGTAACAATTCTGGGCAGAGACTGAAATACTGGCAGGAAGGAGACCCTTGGCATACTCCAAGTATGGAGCTGGGCAACCCACAATGACCTCTGGAAAATGACAGTAGGGTGTTGAAATGACAAGGTGGAGAACTTAGTTCTGTACAAGATGTTACATCAGCATCAACCAAAGTCATGAATTGAAAATTATAATGAAGCGAGTGGCTTATACTCCCGACGACATCAAACTCACCAACATTGGGGTCCAGAGGGCCCTTCTTCAGAAAATCGACGATTTCCTGAATGCCCTTCTTGTCACCGTTCATCTTCCAGTTGCCACCAACGCAGAACTTGCGGCTCATCTTGACGGTTTTGTTGCTGGGTTTTGCGTTGAAGTTGAAGAATTACCGCGAAGTGCGGTGTGCTGAAGGACAGTCGGAGTGAGACTGGTCAAGAGTCAAGAGCAAACGTGTCCGGACCGACCCCTGCTTTTCAGCTGCTTCCCCTTTCGACAGTGACCTTCACCTCTGTGGAAGGGCACGGGGTACGGTGGAAGAGAGGGGGAGGGACCCGGAGCTGCCAACCTTTCCAACAAACCCTCGTTCATTTGCTGAACTTTGGATGTTTGAATAAGTAACATTTGAAATCTCATTTGTGCAAACACATTATCAAAAATCGTTTTGCGTAAAAGACCAGTCTCAAATTAAACCGTCGAATAGGTTTCACTTTCTTAACACTTCCGGTGCAAGTAGTAAGTTTCGAGTGGCGCGACTGCCCTGTAATGGCGGGAATTTTTGAACGCTCTTGGAACAGAACTATGTCACTCAAGTACATTGGGGGAATGCCCACAAAAAGTAGAACAGGGTAGTGAATGGCCTTGTTTCACCCCGACGACCATATCCATCACCGGCAGCAAAAATATTCGTCCCAATAAAACAAAGGATCGACACCCCAGCCATCGGCGTGGGCGTGCCCGGGTGGAGGGAGTGCCCACGGCACGGCCCGCGCCCGCGGCGCGCGGGGTGGCCGGCGGGGGCTCTGGCCGCGGTGCGCCAGGTACGCGCCGCGACTCCAGGCCAGTTAGTTCCTCTGGCGCCGCGGCGCTCGATGGGAGTGCAGGCCTGCAGGTGCACCTCACCCCGCCACCCGCACTCGCCAAGGCGTCCGTCGTCGGATAGAGCAGTGGCGCGAGCGATTCGCGATTGGACGACGCTCGTCGACTTTCCCACGGCGAGCTCAACCGGTCAGTCAGGAAGCAGTTTTTTTCTCTCTTTGATTGTCTAGTGATCTATTTCAAAAGCGAGTATCAAGGTTTCAAACTCACAATTACGCACTGTATTCACTCCTTTGTCTTTCCCGCACCTGACCGAGCGCGATTACTTTTCAGGCTTTCCTTCCTCATTCCACCCGTATCATCGTTTATTCCAGGGTCCCGCAGGGTCCCCTATTGCGGACGGCCGGTGCTTGCCTTCTGGCCCGCGCGGCGACCCAACGGGGAGCTCACTGTCCTCGATCCTCGGATCCTCGCGGCTTCTCGCGTCGGAGCGGAGCGGCGTGGCGCCGGGTGCCAGTCGCGCCGTCTGCGAGGACAGGCCACGCCCCTCCGCTGAGGCCGTGCTGAGGCCGTGCTGAGGGCCTGCGGCCGCGGCCACCTATCTCGCCGCGGTGGCTGTCACGCCGGTGGACGCGGAGCGCGCAGAGCGTCCGATCAAGATGGCAACGATGGACGTGGACACGGTAAGCGCGGCGGTCGCCGCCAGCAAGACCAAGTATCCCCAGGCCGACCCCGCGGACACCCAAGACCCGGAGAAGGACGACGACGCTTTGACGGTAAGCCCCCCCCCACTCTACGGCACACGCATCGAGAAAGGGGCAGTAATACTAGCCCATGTGAGGCGGCATAAATGATGTGAAGGTGGCGTATTTTTGACGCCAAAAAGGAGTCAATGGAGTAAGTTACTGACTCGTCTCACTTGAGAGTATACGGGAGAGGGAAGTTACTTGCACACCCCACATACACTGTAATTTCTATGACAATACATTTGTGACCATACTTGGCGACATTCCCTTAATGGCGACTTCCCTTATTTTTTGTCGCCAAACTTTGGCGACATCCGAGATGTGACCATTATTATGGAAACAGATATGTCCAAGGTATGTCCAGGTCCAATTGAGAAAGAAAATTTGTCACCCTCGGTGTCACCTTATTTATTGGTGACGTATGTGTTACCGCCAAGGCGACGAAAATGTCACCAAATAAGATGACACTTAGGAAGACAAATTTTATGTTCTCAATTGGATCTATCCTGGCGACATATCTGTTTCCATAATTATGGTCACATCTCGGATGTCGCCAAAGTTTGGCGACAAAGAAAGAGAAGTTTCCAAAATAAATGTGTCGCCAAATTTTTGTCACATGTGTCGCCGTATAGAGATTACAGTGTGCACGATATGGCGCCGATTTTTGATGGCACTGGCGACGTCTTTACCGCTCCATCGTGGACTTCCCTCTCGGCACGATAGGAAACGCACAAGGTCAGTGGGGCACCTGGAGACTTTGGGGCCGTGCTCGCGCGGCTCGCGTGCCGGGGTGGTGTTGCCTGCCCCCCAGACCGCATCTCCGCCTCCTCGAGGTTGTCGGTGGTTGGCCGCCCGCCCCCCGCCCCCTGCTAGGGCCACCCTCGGAGAGCCACTTTTCTAGCCATTCTCAATCTCAACCCCAACCTGCATCCTGGGGGAAGGACGAACATCGACACGGTGAGTTAGGTCATGTGTGGGGGTCAACAGAAATGCCTTGGAAATCGTCGCCACACCTTCGGTGGGCGCGCGACCACTGTGTGGTCACGCTCCGCTGCTTGCGTAGTCAACGTGTCGATGTGACCGTTTGGTGCAGCCGTCTGTTGTTGAGGAGATAATCCTATCAGACTATGCGAACGCAAACGGATAGCGATTGCATAGCATGATGCGCCTTTCTTCGTCATCGATAAAGTGATTGAAAGAAATTGATTCCCCCAAATTATCATTGCGTCTTCTCCGAACCCCGCCGCCGGGCCGCAGCAGCGCAGCGATCCGTTTAGGTCAGAGATAGCGGACGCACTCTTGACTCAAGTGCAGACTGCCGGTGTGACTCGCGGCAGGTGGGCGTCGCGCCGGACAAACACCCTTACCCTGACTCACTCTGACTCACCCCATGAGGAATACAAACGTGGAAATATCGAAAATATATCGAACATTTGGGGGGACAAAATGACTTTTATTCGACTTTTTCGACGTCGAATCGACATCGAATCGACATCCCATCGACGTTAATGAAAATTCATTTCTCACTGGGATATCACTCTCTCCCGTAGCAGAGCTGGCCATGAGGGGAGCGAGGAGGGCGACGTTCGCAGAGAGACGGGTCTGCAGAGGCGGAGGATGCTCTGCACAGCTGATAAGTTTTGCTCACCGCGTGTCACCGGAAGTTGCGCAGGGGCTGCGAGGCGGCGAGCCGCGAGAGCGGGGCCCGCGGAATGCCATACAGGAGGCCGAGATTCACGTGAAACAGGGCTGTGGTGCGCGTTGCGCGCGCGTCTTTGGTCGCGCGTCGGGGACGTGCGCCCGAGGGCGTGCTGCGGTGGTGCGCGCGGGCGTAAGGACAAGGACCGGCTGCTAGAGGGGGCGGCGGTGGGGCGTAGGATGTCTACATACAGAGGTTTTGAAGCAACACATTGCCGATCTTCCAGGAGGCTCACTAGAGACGACAGGGGGTCCCCCTCTCCCCCCCCCCTCGCGCCTGCCTGAAGGTGAAGGCGTCCCCCC